TCATCAGTTCACAATTTTACTTTTAAGTCCACAACAGGTGGGTTTCACTTAAAATTATCCCTTTCAAAGCATTGTAATACTTTATGAAATACAAAATTTCTGTATTAACCCTTTAATTATAAGTGACAATATATGTGCCCAGATGTACCCTACTTTATATTTTACTCTGCCTAACGCCAGACGATTTTACAATGGTATCATGCAATTAAGCCTGGAACAAATGGTCAGTTATAAATACCTATCTTGATCACTCAAATATCAATGGCTTGATTAATTGCAACTTATGATATTTAATTCAGTATAAAAACGTAAAACTTATATGTTAGAGATATTAACTTGGTATGGGCTTACCACTATAGTGCAGGTATTTTTTTGGACACCTGCAAACTTTTTTAATGCCATTAATATACTGCACGGATTTGTGTGTTGGCTGGCTGCATCTATTTATTAGTAAATAACAATATTGCACGCTGTTTCCAAGCAGCATATCTGTTTTGTGTCAAGATTTTGTGTGTTATAAATATTACATGTAAATCGACTATGAAATATTCTAGCAGTATTAAGTATATATAAAACTATATTTTTATCAACATTACCATGCGAGGTGAACAAAATCCGCATTAAAATCACTTCAAATTATTGTACAACTGAACAAGTCACACGACAAGAGAAACAATATTATTTGCTTGATTGTATTTAAAAATAGATAATCCATATTTTCACGACATTTTAGAGAAATACCAGAATTAGTGCAGAAAATTTCCAATTCGTTATATTATAAATTCGTCCGTTTGTTTATATTCGCATAAATGATATATTATTTAATTACTATTTTCCATATTTCACGCTGACAATACGTCAGACTCCGTGTTTTCCATATTTTTCTCTGACGTCAGACTCCGTGTTTTCCATATTTTATGACTCCGTGTTTTCCATATGACTCCGTGTTTTCCATATTTTTCTGACGTCAGACTCCGTGTTTTCCATATGACTCCGTGTTTTCCATATTTTTATGACGTCAGACTCCGGGACTCCGACTCCGGGACTCCGACTCCGGGACTCCGACTCCGGAACTCCGACTCCGTGTTTTCCATCTAACCAGTATATAGCGCTCGATGCTTTATACGCCTATATGCTCGGGTTGAAGGCTTAAGTTAAATATTCAAGACAAAATACCTGTAACAATAACTAATCGATATATGAGCAAGCCCGTACAATTATACAATACCCCACCATAACGCCAAGAACGTATGTTTATTTATAATAAAGCAATACTTTCGGTTGCTCATATATCGAGAAAGGGCCCAGTAATCAGTGAGGGCCCCCTATACCTCTTCACAATATGCTTTCACGTAAAAATATTTTGCCTTTTCACGAGTCACGGAAAAGAAAATCATCGATCACGTTTCACGGCTAAGTAAAATAAGCCCTTCACGCTTCACGCAAAACGTATAGGGGGCCCGATCACGTTTCACGGCGAAGTAAAATAAGCCCTTCACGCTTCATGCTTCACGCAAAAAGTATAGGGGGCCCTCATCAGTATTGATAACAGAAGCCTTTGGACGTATCTGAGGACGTATCATGAATGGAATATTTACCTTAAAATTAGAATAAAAATCTTTTTATTATACAGATACAGAGTTTTTCGAATAGATGCATTATTTTATTGATATTTCCTTTTTATTGATTATTGCAGTCTAGTTTGGGAAAATTGCAGTAATTACTTGCACGACAAGATGCAAAAAAATGCAAAATAGAGCGGCAAGAATAATTACTGGCAAATCATATGAAATACGAACAAGTGAATTGCTAAAAGAGCTTAATTGGCAAGCACTTGAGGAAAGAAGGGAGAGCGGGAGATTCACATTCATGTTTAATGTTAAAAATCAGGAGGCACCGGCAAATATGGCTAATTTGTTTAGATTCTCTAATAATGAAAAATATGACCTTAGAAATAACGGAATTAATTTTCAACTGGATAAACCTAAGACTAATTTCCTCAAAAAAAAGTATTAGCTACTCAGGGGCAAAATGCTGGAATAATTTGCCAAATGAGATTAAGGCAAAAGAAATGACGATGGGACAATTCAAAACATTTCTCAGAGAAAACGACAACAGTTTGTTAGTTATATTTATGTGAGCATACAATATTTTGTATATATTCTCTTAGACTTTAACTGTGTGATAATTTATATTATATTTTAGATGTAATTTTTATTAAACTTTGTAAATATTAGTTTAAACGGCCTCTTGAAAAACGGATCATAGGTGTTCTGAAGAGCTACAGTTTTAAAATATTTGTAAATAATAATAATAAATTGATATTTTCTTTCCTGTTTATTAATACTGAAAAATTTGTATTTTCCGATGTATTTTTGTACGACACGACTTTGTTTATCTGATTGTCTCGCTTTATGAAAGATATAAACCTTTATTTTTTCGCTGTGTAATATAAATAAACTCTGTATCGTCTATGAAGTAAACAAATTTTGCACTCGCTCGTTCGTTTAATTTGCGAAAACAAATTAACGCGTGGGTAAATACCACACGTAAGTATTTCCCATGAAAAAATCTCTATATACTATCCGGTTATCCCATTATCCGATTATCCGGTTATTCTGTTATCCGGTTATCCGATTATCCGGTTATCCGGTTATCCGATTATCTGGTTATCCGGTTATCCGGTTATCCGATTATCCGATTATCCGGTTATCCGCTACCCGGGTTTTCTACCATGCCGAAAATGGCACTGTGATTACAAAAAATTGCACTGTGATTACAGAAAATTGCACTGTGATTACAGAAAATTGCACTGCTGTTTGGGATTAACTGCATTGAAATCAACCAATCACAGTCGAGTAATGTCTTTATGTATATTATTATATAAAGTATAGTGCATCATATAGATGGCGAGCACTGATAGAAGTGATAATCTCACAATCATGTGAAAATTATCACTTTTCAATTATCACTTTTCTGTAAAAATTATCGCTTTTCAAAGACTGTCCTTTATATAATAAAAAGAAAAATACATGGATGCTTGGAAATACCAGATTTATTTCTCGTGTTGAACATGATATGTCACTTGTTCGCTGCACTCACTCGTAAGATATCGTGTTCAACATGTACACTCTTTATTAACAACGCTAAATATTACGAAACATTTCATCTCCTTTGAGGTTGTGTTATTAATTTTTTTCCGACGCTTCTGGGGGAGGGGGGGTTGCCAAATTTTATGGTAGAATTATGGAATACCCCCCCCCCCAGTACACATACTTTATGACCGGTTTCCTTACTATTGTCGAAAACTATTGTATTCTGAAGAAAATAGTTGGTGACATCGGCATGCATAAACGCTTCATAATAATAATAGCAGGAAATGGTTTCGATCCATTGACCTCTGGGTTATGGGCCCAGAACGCTCCCACTGCCCCACCCTGCTTGTTCGTGCTTGGAATCAGCCAGTTGTATACATTTTCCAAATCTAGAAAATCAGGAAGCAACATATTTCCCTTAAACTTGCAATGAAGCCACTGCACCAAGTCATTGGAATAGATTTTAAAAGAGACAAGAAAGTGCTACAATATAGAGCCAACTGGCCACATAACCAACAATCAATAGCTATTGTTGTTATTGAGCGTGGATGCATGCAAACGTCACCCACGGATTTTGGTCGAACTTTTTCTCAAAACAACAGATTTCGTAAATCATGTGGAGGTTAGGACGAATTGCTGCGGTGGTCTTGTTGGTTAGGGAAGAATTGCTAAAAACGTGCTGCCGGATGGGATTGAACCCTCCACTTTAATAATAATAATAATAATAATAATAATAATAATAATAATAATAATAATAATAATAGCAGGAAATTCTCGCGATCTGCTTGAACTCTGGGTTATAGGCCCAGCAATTATTGAGCGCACAAGAGTGCATATGTCACCTTATAGCGTTTTGGTTAAAATTGTTTTTAAAACAACAGGTTTCTTAAATAATATGACGATTAGGACGAATTGCTGCGGTGACTTTATTGGCTAGTGTGTCGTTGGTGTACGAATTGTTTCAAAATAACAAGTTTTCGTAAATAATAAGGACATTTAAAAAGAACATTTAATAAGACGAATTGCTGCCGTGGCTTGTTGATTAGAGAAAGATATGGGTGAGAAAGATCTTATTATTTTCGAAAATTATTGTATTCAGAAGAAAATGGCTGGTGGCATCGGCATGCATAAACACTCCATAATAATAATAGCAGGAAATGGTTTCGATCCATTGACCTCTGGGTTATGAGCCCAGCACGCTTCCACTGCGCCACCCTGCTTGCTGGTGCTTGGAATCAGCCAGTTGTATACATTTTGCAAATCTAGAAAATCAGGAAGCAACATATTTCCCTTAAACTTGCAATGAAGCCACCGCAACAAGTCAATGGAATTGGTTTTAAAAGAGACAAGAAAGTGCTACACTAAACTATGGAGCCTGCTGACCACATAACCAACAATCAATAGCTATTGTTATTATTGAGCGTGGATGCATGTAGCGTCACGCACGGATTTTGGTCGAACTTTTTCTCAAAACAACAGATTTCGTAAATCATATGGAGATTAGGGCGAATTGCTGCGGTGGTCTTGTTGGTTAGGAGAGGATTGCTAAAAACGTGCTGCCGGAGGGGATCGAACCCTCCACTTTAATGATAATAATGATAATAATAGCAAGAAATGATCACGATCAGCTTGACCTCTTGGTTATGGGCCCAGCAATTATTGAGCGCACAAGAGTGCATATGTCACCATATAGCGTTTTGGTTATAATTGTTCTCAAAACAACAGGTTTTGTAAATAATATGGCGATTAGGACGAATTGCTACGGTGGCTTTGTTGGCTAGTGTATCGTTGGTGTACGAATTTTTGCAAAACAACAAGTTTTCGTAAATAATATGGACATTAATAAGATGAATTGCTGCAGTGGCTGGTTGGTTAGAGAAAGATAAGTATGGATGGCTAAAAACTAGCTCTCGGAGGGGATCGAACCCTCGACCTTCGTATATACTCAAGTATTGCTTATAAGTGCGACGCACTAACCAACTGGGCCACGAGAACACGTCCTGATAACGCTCCTATTAAGTTCTTTGTACCATTGCATGGCGATAAAATATATAATAGTTTTGTTTTGGGAAACACCACGTAAATTTATTACTGCAAAGCTTTCGATCCGTAAGCCGGGATCTTCATCAGTGCTAATAATATGTGATTTATTTCATTCACACGCTCTTTTATATACAAAAGTGTCGTGATCTGTTGGCTCGCGTCATTTGAAATTTAATTAAACGGCACATCAACACGCCATTCCAAACGTAGTGAAGTAATTCCAATTAACGCGCGCGGATCCAAGACACGATAAATTAATTTTGCACCTCTTGATCTATAGGGAACGATCTAACGCTCCTATTATTTTCGAAACTTGTACTTTCGGAAGATGAGTACTACACTAGCGGATAAAAGAAGGGAATGGTCTCGATTCATTGATCTCTGGGTTATGCGCCCAGGAGGCTTCCACTGCGCCACACTGTTCCTTTCGCTGAATCATCCGAACAACGTCAAAGAAACTTAGATAATGTTAAACATGAGGTTCTGGCGAAGATTCTGCCGAGACTTGATTGCAGATAGTTGGATCCACAGTCCAAAGTGCAAACCATCACACCACAAACTTTTGAAGGATTGTGGACTCATATTATTGAACAAAAGTTGCTATACTTTGTTTCGGTAGCGTGGCCGACTGGTCTATGGCGCTGGTTTTAGGCACTACTCATTTCGATGACGTGGGTTCGAATCCCACCGCTGCCAGTTGTTTAAAAATTCGTCACCTCTCTTTAGAACCCGGATGTATGTCACATCACAACGGCGTTTTAGTATGATATTTGTGACGTTACTCTGAGTATGCATCCCACAGCGGGCAAGCTGAAAAGTTTGCTTGGTCACGGTGGGAGTCGAACCCGCGACCTTTGGGATACTAGTCCAATGTTCTGCCAACTGAGCTGCGTGGTCAAGTCGGTTCGAGTTGTTAATAGAGTTTTATTTTTTAGTATGTCGAAATTTACACTTTGCTTGCAATTTAGTAGAACTAAATGGGCGAAGGCGTATTTAATTAACTATATATTGCAGGAAAGAGTATAGGTAATATGATTCTTTGCGGTTTGTCATGGATAATGTAGCCGCTTAAAATTAATCAATAGACCTTTCCCCTTATGAGTGAAATTTTGATCTAGACAAGCCTAAACAAAAATGTCATCACAGCTTGAAAAAGCATCACATAATTAGTAATATTCCGAAGTTTCGTTGCGAAATGTTGTAAAATGCAGATAATATAGCATTGCGAAGTTTGCCCTTTTTCAGTCATTGTATTACAAATGGGAAATTGATAATCAGTTTGATCATCTGATTATCAATTTCCCGTTTGTAATGCAAAATGACTGAAAAACGGCAAACTTCGCAAGGCTATATTATCCGCATTTTACAACATTCAACGAAACTTCGGAATATTACTAATTTTGCCGTGATGCTCATTCGAGCTGCGATGCTCTTTCGAGCTGTGGTGAAATTTTTGTCCAGGCTTGTCTAGATGAAAATTTCACTCAAATGAGGAAATTAAGGTCTATTGTAGAGGTGTGCAAATCCGATCCGAATCCGATCGGATTCGTTCTGATTTCGGAACCAAAATGTAAATTTCGGATCGGATTGATAAAGTTGTTTCGTAGTCGGATCGGACTTCGAAATCCGGAATAAAATGAATTAATTACCATGCATTATCACAAGAATTAATTATCCATACATTTATAATTATCAAAGTATCATCGCGGTTTTCGCTGCATTATTCGTTTAATACTTGAAATGGACGTCACTTTGTCAGCTTCTTGACATGTATTTCTTGCTTTTATAGTTTATTTGGTTAAATATTTCAACTTGAATGAGAAATTTATTTTATTAAAGAATTCTTCGGATCGGATTGGAATTCTTTTTCAAAACTCGGATCGAATTCGGATTAGACAATTTCGGATCGGATTTTAAACATTAGGTAATTGTTGTCGGATTATAAACGTCCAATCCGATCCGATGCACACATCTAATCTATTGTCAGTATTTTAAAGGTATATTATTTAAATGATAAAGGTGTGCATGATTTTGAAAAAAGAATGATTATCAGCAAATTATTGTAAGGGCTGCTGCCCCAGCCCCCCCCCCCCCCTCCACCCGACTGCTACGGCCCTGAGAAGTAATAAACCGAAAAACATTTACCGATTTACGATTTGTTTTACGTTATCCATGTAAATGCCGTGATTTCGTAAATCAGTTTATAGCAATGGTTTATACTGACAAGATACCATTTTATAATATCTCCCCCCCCAATAATAGCCCCCCCCCTCGCTACGGCCCTGACTAGCAATTTAAAAATCTCCTCAAAAAACAATAATCAATATATTAGTCATGATTTTACTCATGAATCACATTGGTATCTTCATTCTTGGACTTGATGAATAGAGTACGACAAGCAATGCACAATTGAAATAAATAGTAACGATTGTACAGTTTATAAGCACCATTTACTAACAAACAGGACGACGGTAGCAGTTCGTGAGAAAGGTCTTATTATTTTCGAAAATTATTGTATTCAGAAGAAAATGGTTGGTGGCATCGGCATGCATAAACGCTCCATAATAATAGTAATAGCAGGAAATGGTTTCGATCCATTGACCTCTGGGTTACGGGCCCAGCACGCTTCCACTGCGCCACCCTGCTTGTCACTGCTTGGAATCAGCCAGTTGTATATATTTTCCAAATCTAGAAAATCAGGAAGCAACGTATTTCTCTTAAACTTGTAATAAACCCACTGCACCAATTCATTGGAATAGATTTTAAAACAGGCAAGAAAGTGTTACAATATGGAGCCTACTGGCCACACAACTCAACAATCAATAGCTATTGCTATTATTGAGCGTGGATGCATGCAGACGTAACCCTCGGATTTTGGTGGAACGATTTCTCAAAACAACAGATTTCGTAAATCATATGGAGATTAGGGCGAATTGCTGCGGTGGTGATAAAAGAAGGAAGTCGTCTCGATTCATTGATCTCTTGGTTATGCGCCCTGTAGGCTTCCACTGCCCCACACTGCTCCATTCGCTGAATCATCCGAACAACGTCAAAGAAATTTAGATAATGCTAAACATGAGGTTCTGCCGAAGATTCTGCCGAGACTTGATTGCAGATAGTTGGATCCGCAGTCCAAAGTGATAACCATTACACCACAAACTTTCGAAGGATTGTGGACACATATTATTGAACAAAAGTGGCTATTCTTGTTTCGGAAGTGTGGCCCAGTGGTCTATGGCGCTGGTTTTTAGGCACCAGTCACTTCGATGACATGGGTTCGAATCCCACCGCCGGCAGTTGTTTAAAAATTCGTCACCTCTCTTTAGAACCCGGATGTATGTCACCTTAGAGACGCCTTGTACTTGAAGTATACATGGCAGACAATCCATGTTGCATACAATTTACGATTATTTTTTATCTTTCTCTTATTTCATTCCATTTGCAAAGACTAAGCCGTTTCAAGATCTACCAACAATTTAAATATCTCCTCAAAGAACAATAATGAATACATTAGTCGTGAATCACTTTGGTATCTTCATTCTTGGACTTGATGGGTAGAGAACGGCAAGCAATGCGCAATTGAAATAAATACGAGCGGTTGTACAGTTTATAAGAACTACGTGCTAAGAAACAGGATGACGGTAGCAGCTCGTGAGAAAGGTCATATTATTTTCGAAAATCATTGTGTTCAGAAGAAATGGTTGGTGTCATCGGTATGCATAAATGCTCCATAATAAGAATAGCAGGAAATGGTTTCGATCCATTGACCTCTGGGTTATGGGCCCAGCACGCTTCCACTGCGCCACCCTGCTTGTTGCTGCTTGGAATAAGCCAGTTGTATATATTTTCCAAATCAAGAATATCAGAAAGCAACATATTTATCTTAAAATTGTAATGAAGCCACTGCACCAATTCATTGGAATAGATTTTAAAACCGACAAGAAAGTGTTACAATAAACTATAGAGTCTACTGACCACATAACCCAACAATCAATAGCTATTGTTATTATTGAGCGTGGATGCATGCAGACGTCACCCACGGATTTTGGTCGAACTTTTTCTCAAAACAACAGATTTTGTAAATAATAATAATAATAATAGTAATGATAATAATAGCAGGAAATGATCACCATCAGGTTGATCTCTTGGTTATGGGCCCAGCAATTATTGAGCGCACAGGAGTGTATATGTCGCCCTATAACGTTTTGGTTAAAATTGTTCTCAAAACAACAGGTTTCGTAAGTAATATGGCGATAAAGACGAATTGCTGCGGTGGCTTTTTTGGCTAGTGTATAGTCGGTGTACGAATTTTTTCAAAATAACAGATTTTCGTAGATAATAAGGACATTTTATAAGACGAATTGCTGCCGTGGCTTGTTGGTTAGAGAATGATAAGGATGGATGGCTAAAAAGTTGCTCTCGCAGGGGCTCGAACCCTCGACCTTCGCATATACACAAGTACTGCTTATAAGTACGATGCACTAACTAACAGGGCCGCGAAAGCAGGTCCGGCCGATAACGTTCTTATTATTTCCTGTTCTTTCGGAAGATTAGTACTAGACTTGCGGATAATTATAGAAAATGGTCTCCGTTCATTGATCCCTGGGTTATGTGCCCAGCACGCTTCCACTGCGCCACACTGCTCCTTGTGCTGAATCATCCAAACAACATGAAAGGAATTTAGAGAATGTTAAGGCCTGATTCCACGGGCGCATTTTCTCGGCGAAATGCGAAATATTTTGCCAGTTTCTTTTGAATTGTGAGCAATCAAGTAGAAATAATTTATTCGAGTGGTCGCAATTCAAAAGAAACAGGCGAAATATTTCGCATTTCGCCGACAAAAAGCGCCCGTGGAATCAGGGCTTTACACTTGTGGTTCTGACGAAGATTCCGTTGAGACTTGATTGCAGATAGTTGGATTCAGAGTCCAAAGTGCTAACCATTACACCACAAACGTTTGAAAGATTGTGGACTCATATTATTCAACAAAAGTGGTTTTACTTTGCTTCGGTAGCGTGGACGAGTGGTCTAAGGCGCTCGTTTTAGGCACCGGTCATTTTGAGGAGGTGGGTTCGAATCCCACTGCTGCCAGTTGTTTAATAATTTGTCGCCTCTCTTATGAACCTGGATGTATGTAACTTTGGAGACGCTTTGTATTTGGAGTATTCATGGCAGGCAATCGAAATTGTAATGGTCATACAGTTTATAAGCACGAAGCACTAACAAACGTGGCGACGACAGCAGGTCGCGAAAAAGCCTTACTATTTTCGAAACCTATTGTATGCAGAAGAAAATGGTTGGTGCCTTCGGCATGCATAAACCCTCCATAATAAGAATAGCAGGATATTGTTTCGACCATTGACCTCAGGGTTATGGGCCCAGCACGCTTCCACCGCGCCACCCTGCTTCTTGTTCTTTGCAATCAGAGAGTTGTGAATCTATTTTGCGAATCTAGAAACCCATCACGCAAGATATTTCCCTTGAATTTGTAACAAAGTTTCTGCATCCAATTCAATGGGATATATTTTAAAACAGACAAGAACGAGCTGCAATAAACTATAGAGCCTGGTGGCCACATAACCCGGCAATCAATAGGTATTACTATTATTGAGCGTGGATGCATGCAGGAAATTCCCTGTTTCGGAAGATAGTGGACCGGCAGATAATAGTAGCAGGAAGTGGTCTCGATTCATTGACCTCTAGGTTGTGCGCCCAGCACGCTTCCACTGTGCTACCCTGCTCGTTGCGCTGAATCGTCCAGTGTGTATATTTCAGTGATGAATCTGGAAATTCAGGGGTCCACATATCATATGTCCCGTAAAATTGTTAGTTAATAGTCAATTAATTTGTCATTGACATGAACAGAATGAAAGTAAATGTAATAAGGATGCCCTCTGCAGACCTAGGGGAGAAATGTGCGCATTTTAATGTTTCTCGCTGTTATTTGCTATTTCTTATGAAAAACGACACTTCCAGATGAACGAGACCATCTGAGGGAAATTCATAGAAGCAATCCAAAGAAAAGATCCCTAGAACTTTCTTGGCTTTTTCCCCTTGTGAAGTAGAGGACTTCGGAAAAGATGCAATCCTAATGACAATGAAAATTTTCGACGCAATAGAAAATCTAAAACTACGGAGTTAGTAGAATACATGGTTTGGAAACTTCGGCGACTGAATTACAATACAACTCATTATAGTTAATAACTATGTTTGTCTGGGTTTGTGGAAGTATCTGATCCTTCGTCGCCACGTCCCTATTGTATTCTCGCCATTTCAACCAATAGTAATGTTAAAATTAACTCATTGTTCAAGTCATGGTTGGATAACTAAGTCCAAGCATAATTAATGGTGTCTGGACGAAAATCCGTCCAAGAAACATATATTTGCCTAAACCTGGACATAAACAGCGATATTGAGTACTTTTGCTTTTAGGCGGAGTTTCCAAACCATGTACTGTCCTAAATATGAGTGAATTGAGCCGAACAACGTGAAAGAAACTTAGATAATGTTAGACATGAGGTTCTGCCGAAGTTTCTGCTGACACTTGATTGCGCCAGATAGTTGGATTCAGAGTCCAAAGTGCTAATCGCTACCCCACAAAATTTTGGAGGATTGTGGAATTATTTTATTGACAAAAGTAGCTATGCTTTGCCAGAGGTAGCGTGGCCGAGTGGTCTAAGGCGCTGGTTTTAGGCACGAGTCATTTCGATGATGATGAATTATTCTAATCAGAAGAGAATGGTTGTTGGCATCGGCATGGATAAACGCTCCGTAATAATAATAGAGAGGTTAAGATACCCCATTCCGGTTTACGGGTACGGGTGATATACACGTACCCGTACCTGTAAATCGGGGAACGACTTGTAACTTAACCACATATAGTAAACACCCGTACCCGTTGACTTTTACGTGTAGACCTTAGTTTACGGCGGGGAAACGGGTAGAAATTACGGGTAAAATGATGACATCAGCAAAAATTGCTAAACAAAATGGCGATAGATAGATAAAAAGTTTATTTGTACACGCTGACCCCGGCAACCGAAGCTGATTTCCACGAAACCGGGGTATCTTAACCTTAAATCGGAACCGGGGTATCTTAACCTCTCTAGTAGCAGGAAATGGTTTCGATCCATTGACCTCTGGGTTGTGGGCCCAGCACGCTTCCACTGTTCCACCCGGCTTGTTGCTGCTTGGAATCAGCTAGTTGTATATATTTTCCAAATCTAGAAAATCAGGAAGCAACATATTTCCCTCAAACTTGTAATGAAGCCACTGCACCAATTCAATGAAATAGATTTTAAAACAGACAAGAAAGTGTTACAATAAACTAAAGAGTGTACTGGCCACACACATAACCCAACAATCAGTAGCTATTGTTATTATTGAGCGTGGATGCATGCAGACGTCACCCACGGAATATGATCGAACTTTTTCTCAAAACAACAGATTTCGTAAATCATATGTAGTCTAGGACCTGAATAGGACTTTGTATGCGTTTCATTTACCACAGTTAATCTCAACTATTTTAGGGTAAAATGACCATGACGGTCAACATGGCATATGTGCCAAAACCTGAATCCGGGACGAAAGTACTGAAAATCACCCCGCCCTGAAACGGCATGCCGACATAGCTCTAACTTCTGAAAAGCAAAAGCAAAAGCGACAGCCTTTCGGAGGTGCTTATAGTGTGTAGAAGGGTTGCTCTTAGGGGTGGTCATTGGAAGGAAAAAATTGTGTAAGTATAATATTTTACAAGAAAATAACCATTCGTCACCCCAGGTACTGTAAATTGCTAATTATGCATCAAATAACTAATATACATGGCAGAAATTAAATATCCTTATTTCCTAAAAAAAATTATCTTGGGATGAAAAACTATGCTTAATTTAATATAATTATTGTAGTTTTCATAAGGATAGTCACTGTTTTCTCTAAATATAATATATGTTATTTCACTTACCCTCCACGAAAACACGATTTCAGCCATATTTTGCCGTCTTGTTTGCTTTATATCGCCGTGTCTCGCAAATAACACCCAGTTGTTGTACTTTTACATAATGGCAAATGGTTAAAAAAGATTCCAACCAAGTTTCGGCTAGTTTTGAAGCAGGGCAGTGTTTTTGTCTTCGATATTGTCTCCTTCCATATTTCGTCTAATATGCCGCCATTTTAATGGCTCGCCGATTCTCTGTCCGATAAATGCCACTTCTTCGTCTTCATATGTATTTAGATTACAGTATGCGAGAGTACTTCATTGTAGAATAGTGCTAATCGAAAAATTGAAAACATTAGTTCCACTTGTAAGGAAAAAACCACCCATAACAAATTCAGGATAGGAATAAAAACTAATCATTTGAAAGTCACGCGCAATCTTCGTGAAAATTCCTCGTGGCTACTTGACAAGGGGGGGGGGGGGGGGGGGGG